ACCGTCTCCTTGAACCTTCAACCCAGTTACCTAATTTGTCGAAAACACACACGGCCACAGCGGACCATTCTTTAAAAGAAATACGAGACCCTGAATCATCAGCGGATATGTGTGTACCAGAGCGTGCACCTGCCGGCCACTGGGACGGGGCGCCAGTCTTCCCACATGGTGGCGCCCAGCAGGGGCGTGTCCTCGCCCTCTCGGTGGGGGGGGGGGGCGGTCCCCAGGCCGGGGCTTGACGCCAGATGGACGCCAGCCTTTGAAGTGTGGAGCATCCCGGTAGCGGAGCCGGGCTCTGCACAGCCAAGGAGGATGGCTAGGAGTCGTGCAGCGACTCAAGAGGCGGTGTCGGCTCTTATCCGAAACCCCAGGTCTAGTCCAAGGGTATTTCGTGGAGCTGCTCCTTGACGAAGGCGGGCGGAATGCACATCTCCAACCAGCGCTCCTGGGCGTCCTTAGGCGTTCGGCCTCTGCTGGACTTCGGCGCCGGTCGCCCCTCTTCAGTGGGCGCTGGTGTAGTGGCGCACGGCATGTGTTTGCGCCCCGAGGCCACATCAGCATGAAAGCTGTAGCCGCCCATGTAGAAGTCGGTGACCGCCTTCCGGGGCGTATTGAGCTGTAGGCGGTGGAAGCCATCCTTTTTTGCCCAAGCCAAGGCAGAGCCGTCGGACGGGTCCGAGGTGAGGTCGCCCCATTTGACCGACAGCCACCAAAGCCGTGGGCGAGTGACCCATCCAAAGTCGCCCGCGCAGGCGAACACCGGCTGACATCCGAGCTTCTCGGTCACCGTCTTCGCGTCGGCCGAGTTCATGAGGACGTTCTTGAAGATGGAGGCGGTGTTGTATAGCCCGGCAGGTCGTCAAAGATCGCCTGCGTGAACTCGGCGGAGACGGAGAAGAGGCGTCGCCTTGCGCCTTGGTGGCCCTCCCCGGGCCCAATCGGGGAGAAGTCCTGGCACGGCGGAACCGCCCCGAACAACACGAGGCACTCTTTGTTTGGGTCCGCGTCTCGGAGGTCGCCGCGACCTTCTTCGGGTCGTCCTTGGTGATGTCGCCTTTATGGGCGAACCATGGCAGCTTCGCGGCCGTGACCTTGAGGCAGTCTTGGTCGATCTCCCACACCAGTGCAAGGCGTGGCTGTCCAAAGCGCTGCTCGATGAGGCAGGGAGCCGCCCCTATCCCATCCAAGGCGGTGAGCAGCACAATGTCCCGTTTCACGGGGTTTGCCTCGGGGGCCGGCTGCATTGCCCTGCGAGCCTCTCGCCCTTTTGGGCGGGCGGTCGGGTTCCCCGCCTGGATGGAGGGCCCGCGCTGTCCCTAGCGCTTCTGGCCCTTTCCGGGGCGGTCCTCCTTCTTGGCATTGTCCCAGGACCATTGTTTGCCAGAGCCCTGGTTCTGGCTCCAGCTGGACTGGTTCCAAGACCAATCGCCCCAGTCCTCTTAAAAGTCCTGTCCGCCCTGATTGCGACGGTTGCCCCCTTTAAGCTTGCCGGTCTTTCCTTTGCCCTTGCCTTTGCCGCGGCCGCGGCCCTTGGGCTGCTCGGTGTCCTCGGTCTTCGCCCACTTGCGTGGGTTGCCGGGGTTGCCGCCCGAGTTGGGCGACTTCTTCGGCTTCTGCCTCTTCTCTGGGGAGGGCATCGCCAGCGCCTCCTGAAGAGACGGTAGGTCGGAACGAATCTCCTGAGTCACCTCGCCAAATGTGCGCCCCGACCGCATGCCCATGGCGATGCGCCAGGCGGATTGCAACAGAATTGTTGCATTTGGTATAGTTTGTCCGCTCCTTGGGCGCGGACCTTGGCCACGAACCAATTGCAATAGGCGTTCACGTCGTCCTCTGCGCCGAATTGCAGGAGGATCCAGGCCCATCTTGCGGCCTCCGCCCCGTCCAGGACGGTCAGCATGCTTTTCGGCAAGCTGTTTAGCTCGCCGCCCGCCGCCCAGGTACGGCGGGAGAGCTCGATCTGGTCCGCCCACTGTGGAAAGGAGGCGGTGGCCACCGACATGGCGCCCGGAGTCGCCACGGCCGGTTTGGCCACGGTGGCGGGGTCAATGGTGTTGTGCGCCTGCCACTGGATGAGGATCGCCTCACTCACGGCCGCGTCCGCCGTGTCCTTCGGCTTGTGGGTGACGCCGGCCGAGTCGGTGTAGCCCATCAGGGCCCCTGCCACCGTTAGCAGAGTGGACGCCCCAGCGGGCGGCACGCCCCCAGTCCCGGGCGCAGGGGGACTGGTTCCCGCCCCCGTCATAGGCGCTTGATGCCCGGTGTTGCCGGTCGTCATGGGTGAGGCGGGGCTAAGGGCGGCAAGCTTAGACTAGCGAGCAAAGGGCGAGATCTAGGCACTCGCCCGATGAGGCTGAGCAAATGGAAAATTCGCCCGATGAGGGCGAGTTGTCCGCCTCAGGGAAGCAGACCATGCACAGGCGGCCTCCACTCCAGGCGGTTGCCGTGAGGCTCATTGAAGTCGGGCTTGCGCAAGACCGCGTCGTTGTGGTACGCCCGGTCCTGCCGGACGAAAGGCGGTATGCCGCCCGGCCACCTGGCCCCAAAGGCTCCGGCGCCCGTCTCGGAGAAGCAGACGAGGCACCTTGGGCCGTAGAGCGGCGGAAGAGTAGTGAGCATGGCCGAGAGGCGTAGGCAAAGGTGTCTGGAGTCTGTTCTGTGGGCGACATCGCGCCTGGGGGCTTGGACGTATTCGGCCCACGGGCCGTCGTTGAGCAGCCCGATCTCATTGTGCGCCCACGGCCCGTGGCGCCGGCGCCTGCTAGGCACGCCCCACAGCAAGCAGACGATGCACAAGTCGATCGCCCTCGGAAGCACATCGTATCTGAGCACGAAGTCTCCGCCATATCGCCACTGACATGGCATGGTCCAGGCATCGGGCAACTTGCCCTGTTCGTCCGGGTCCGCCAGGCGCAGGCGGCTGGGGCCGGACGCCGCCACAAAGAGGCGGCGTAGGTCGCCCTTCAAAGCGCCAAAGCGCCGACCGGTGTGCACGGGGCGCTCGTACCCAATCTGGCACCGGCAAAAGGCCCACACTGCCGTGATCCGGCGTCGCCAGTCTGGCAAGGTGTCCGCCAGCTGTATCCCGGAGGCGGTGGACAGGGCTTTCCCCTCTCCAGAAAGTCGTGTGGTCCTGGGCCGCCTCTGCCAGGTCGGAGGGGTGTTTTTTGAGAGTCGGGCAGTCCGCCCTGCGCTAGGCGGCGGGCGGCGGCACGGGGGTCGTCAAGGGAGAAGGTCCCCTCGGGGCTGAGCCTAAGAGGGATGCTTGCATTCGCGTGGCGGAAATGCACAGAACCCCAAAGCTTGCAAATTTCTCCGCCCGCCGCCTTCAGCTCGATGAGCTGGAGGCGGAAGAGTCCGAGGAGGACGAGTCCGCTGATGGCCTCAGGCGGGGGCGGTTGCCCGCCCTGACAAAAGTAAAAGTTGCGTTGGCCATATGGCGCATGGCGCCCCTGTGGCGTGTCATTCTGTTCCTCCGCCCTATCAGGGCGGTGGACCTTGCGAGTGCGATGGTGCATGATGACGTGAAAATTGTCCATCATCGCCCCTTGGCCCGGTTCCGGGGCAGTGCTTCCCGATGCTCGACCTCGGGGCGCCTGCCACTCCTTGGGGTCTGGGGTTGGCCCCCGCCACTCTCAACACCGCCTCACGGATAGGCGGCGCCGCAACCGATCCTTCTTGCGCCGCAGTGGAGTTGCGTAGCGCGAGGTCGGCCTGTGGGAAGGCGAGCGGTGCCGCCTGGCTGTATCTTTCGATGGCCACGCTAGACCACCGCCCCAAAAGCTGGACGGTGGGCAACGGCACTCCGTTAGCCACGAGGAAGGATGCTCCTGTTACCCTGGCGGCGTGACGCCGAACTTGGGGACCACGTCGCCCTGGGCGGTGACCAGGTGAGTGCCGACCCCGCAGGCGGTGAGGACCCTCTCCAGCATGGCCACCCAATCTCCCGCCCAACCTGTCGGGGAAGAGCGGGCCGTTGGGGCTGTCCGCCCCCAATGCCCTAAGCCGGGCTAGGTGCCGGGCGGCCGCATGCACTGGGCAAAGCGGGTGCACCACCACACCACACGCGCAGCAGAGCGTGCGCACGGTGAGTAGAGGTTCGCCTTGCTGGGCGGTCTTGTGTGTGGGAATCTGCAGGGTAACCTCCCGGAACGAGACGGAGATGTCGCCCACTTTGGCTGAGGCGCACTCGATCTCGCGGAGCATGAACCACGTTACCACCACCAAGGCGTCCGCCCCGTGGGACGGGAGTTGCCCGTCCCAAGGCGCCGACGGCGCCCTGGGCTGTATCACCACCATGACCTTGAGCTTGTTGCCCGGAGGCCGCGGGTCGCAGCTCTGTGGACCCTCCTGTCTGGCGGTCTCTTGGCGGCGCATGGCCGCCTGGAGGTACAGCTTCACCGAGCTGTACCCCGCCTGGCGCATAGATGAGCAACCGCCGAAAGGATGAGCGCCTCCAGGCACAACAGGTGCGCCTTTGGCAGTCGGAGGGGGCGGTCACGACCGAGCCTGTGACCGACCCCGCCTCGCTCCGCCTCTGCCGAAGAGAGCTCGCCCATGCGCAGATCCATGAGATCGAGAGGGCGATCGAGGCCGACGAGTTTCGAATGCCCCCCGCCTTCAGGGAGGCGAGCTACTTCTTCATCCAGCGCCTGCCACGCCACTACTGGACTCTGGCCGGCGTCACCCCAGACGCCCGGGATGAGGACGCGTCCTGGGGTGGTGCATGGCGCCCTGCGTTTCGCCTGCTGTGACGTACCCAGAGCTTCCAATATTGCT